CCTGTGTAGCAGAACAATCTGTGCTTACGTTAAGCATATTTCACGGGTTAGCAAGCCTTTTAGACTTACATGCATACATCCCGTAACTAAGGATTCTGTGCTTACAGTGTCAGCAAAGATTTTTTTCTGCTAGCGCTGTTAGCACAGAATCAGATAGCAAGCGTAGAATTCTGTAATAAGCAAAGCCATGGAATTGGGCCCAGCAATTTGGATTGTAACACTACGGTGTTCGACTCCATGCCGTGGTATATGGGTTCGAACCCTGACAGGGAAGATGGTGCTTGTGTTCTTGGGCAAGACACTTGACTACAATTGTCTCTCTCCACCCAGAAGTATAAATGGGTACCTGTGAAGGTACCGGTAGAGACCCTAATGCGCTGATCTCAAGCTGCTGCAAAAACTGGTCTCATGGCCTGATGAACAGGGGTACTAATTGTGAAGCACTTTGAGACCTTTGGTATAAAGCGCTATATATACACGTACATGTACATTCTCAAGCTGCTGCAAAAACTGGTCTCATGGCCTGATGAACAGGAGTACTAATTGTGAAGCGCTTTGAGACCTTGGGTATAAAGCGCTATATATACATGTACATGTACATGTACATGTACAATGTATACATACATGTACATGTAAGCACCACATTTTATTAAGGGAATAAATGTGTGTTCGGGAGGTATAACACAGACCGGTGGGAGTCTGGATGGGTAATTATCACCCATCCAGACTCCCACCGGTCTTAAACAGAGTGTTTAATACCGACCGAACACATTTATCCCCATCCATAAATACCTTTTTCGGTCAAAAATCAAAATAAGCCAAAAACTAGACGTTGCCAACCATTTTGTTCAACAATTTTACTTCATATTTTACGAAACACCCCTCTGACTATAATATTGAATGTCCCTCCACAACTCGTTACCTTATAAGGGCATTGGCGCGCGCGTTGCGCGTACTGCGCAAAATGCAACTGGGCTAGTGTAGTGTGAATTTCGGACCATGAAATACTGATTCACTGGTAGTATTGCGCATGTATACGTGAGGAATGTGAACGTTCAACCAATGAAACGTTAAAAGGCACCGGATTTCATGGGAGTCCAAATTTCTTGTGACACTGGAAAAGTGTTTAATACCAGCTAGCCATGTCTTTATCATCCGTTTAAGACCAGCCACGTGACGGGCTCTCGACCAATAGGAATGCGTAAACTGTCTTAGGTATTTATGAATATTAGTTTCCAGTCAAGTCCCTTATCTCATCAAAATGTACAACGTACATTTACAAAACCAACAGGATTTCTCGGATATTTCATTTGGTGCATCTAACACAAGTCACCAAAAAGGATAACAAGGTCAGGGTCGAATGCTTCAGACGGCGTTTCTATGGGAACCGGAATGCCTCGTTGCCGGGTAACTGACCAACGCCAAGGATAACAAAGAGGCCATCGCGGAGTGATGTGCATAATTCATATGGTGAGGCATTCAGCGATCACGGGTCATTAACTTGATGCCTTGTTGGCCAATGAAGGAATCTATGTACACACTGGACTGGGGATCAATTATTGCTTCAAGAGACGCCCACCAGTTGTATACAGTTCTTGAAGTATTATTGGAGCTGAACTAATGGGTGCATTAAAAATGCATACTCCGTGCTCTTCAACAAATTCCATTTTCTTTTCTCTCTTAATAAATTTTCAACTTGTATGTTTTATTCCAACCCCGAAACTAACATTTTGGGTATCTGCAACCCTCAGTAGAAACTGGCAGAGACAATTTATCGAGTAAGTTTTGAAAGGCGAAAAAAAGGGTAAAATGGGAACTTGAATTGATTATCTTGCGATACAGAAAACAACAACAACTGTCTCACACTCCCTGCTTAGGAAACCTCCCACCACACCTTCAAAGGAGATGGAATCAAGTTCTACATGGTGCCTCTATTAAACTCATCAATATTCTCTCTCAGCAGTGTCAATTTACACGTGAGGACCTCCATCAGAATATTTCCCACCTTGACTCCCAACTCAAATCCAGTTGTTCTGACTCCACGTACAGGAATTTCCATGATGAGATTGAAAGGGGTTTGTCTAACCTTGACTCTGTCCTACTCAACAGGAGAAACAAGAAGATTGGTGGCTTGCTTGCCAAGCAACAGCAACGCAGACACAGACGTTTCAGACGTCCTAGGTCCCCATCTACCACGCCACCGCCAGAACCCCCTGTCAACACTGTAGTTAATCTTTCTTCCTCATCAATATCTGACGCAGAGCACAAACTTCTCTCCAAGGGTCTCAATTTTTGTCCCGCTCCCCGTTCTGTGAACCAGGTTCAGCTCAGCCAAGATCTCACGGAATACTACCGTAGAATCCGTCTGCGGGAGTTTTTCCTGGACAGTGAACCGTGTGAGCCAGAGCCTTTTCGAGTCAAGAGTTCATGGGTACCCCCCAAGAATCGTGTGCCAGCCATAGAGACATACGTTCAAGTTATCAATTCCCAAGTCACTAACCCGGACAACTTCCCCCACAGGACTCATGATAATCTCCCCAGAGAGGAGCGCCTGGCTCTCAACTCCTTGCGCTCTCGCACCGACATCATCATCAAGCCAGCAGATAAAGGTTCAGCTGTGGTCATCATGGATCGTCAGCAGTACATTGATGAGGCCCACCGCCAGTTGGATAATCGCACTAACTATACCCGCCTTGACTCTGACCCCACAGGCACTTTCTGTCAAGATATACAACAGGTACTTGACGATATGCGATCACGTGACCAGTTGTCGAAGAAAGCTCACAAATTTCTTTCTCCCTGTGATTGTAGGACTGCCAGATTTTACCTTCTACCCAAGATTCACAAGGCTGGCAACCCCGGTAGACCCATCATCTCCGGTAATGGCTCACCCACGGAACGCATCTCCCTGTTCATTGACAGTTTTCTCAAACCCCTTGTCCCACAGATTTCGTCATACATTCACGACACCCCAGACTTCCTACGCAAACTTGAAGGAATCAAGGACCAGATTCCCAGCACAGCCATCATTGGGACTTTCGACGTCTCATCTCTGTACACCAACATCCCACATGAGGAGGGAGTTCGTGCTTGCTCCTTGGCTCTGGCCAAGGCAGGACACACGACTCCTCCCATCAGTGATGTTGGCACCCTCATGAGACTTATACTAACGAAGAACAATTTTTCCTTCCTTGGTGAACACTATCTACAGGTACACGGCACTGCAATGGGCACTCGCATGGCCCCGTCGATGGCTTGCCTCTTCATGGGTGACCTCGAAGAACGCATTCTTGCCTCGGCCCCATGTCGCCCTTGGATCTGGTGGAGATATATTGATGATGTTTTCTTCATCTGGACCAGTGATGAGGACAGTCTCTTGACCTTCACTAACCACATCAATTCCTTCCACAGAACCATCAAATTCACATCGGAGTTCTCGGCTCACCAAACCCACTTTCTGGATGTCACCGTCCGCAAGCAAGGCAACTCACTAACCACTGACCTGTATTCCAAACCCACAGACACCCACCAGTACCTCCACTCCTCCAGCTGTCACCCCAGGCACTGCAAAACTGGCATAGCGTTTAGCCAGGCACTCAGACTCAGAAGAATTTGTTCTAATGATTCCGATTTCTCCCGCCATACACAGATACTGAAGAACAACTTGGTGGCCAGGGGTCACAGCTCTCGCCAAGTTCATCGTGCCATTGCCAGAGCTAAATCTATCCCCAGAAATCAAGCTCTCACGGGAAAGGCCCCTGATGCCATGGCCAAACCCATGATTCCCTTGGTTACCACGTTTCACCCCAATCTCCCTCCCCTCCGCAAAATCACTAATGACAATCATCATATCCTCCATACTTCAGATCGCCTTGCCCGCGCCATCCCCAACGGCCCCACATTGGCTTACAGGCGTCCTCGAAATCTACGGGACTTGATTGTTCGAGCTGAAGTCCCATCCTTAGATGCATCCCCTCCCACCCAGCATGGTACTTTCAAGTGCAGTTCCAGATGTGTTGTCTGCCAGATTCATATCCAGGAGTCTGACTCCTTTTCTGGCCACTCTTCTGTCACTACCCACAGAACCATTGGTAACATCACTTGTAACACCTCTAATGTCATATATCTCATTTCTTGCAGGGTCTGTGGAGTGCAGTATGTAGGTGAGACTAAGAATACGCTCAAGAAGCGTTTCTATGCCCATCGGTCAACGGTCAACACCAAGAAACTAGACACCCCTGTTGGTCATCACTTCAACCTGCCTAACCACTCCATTTCTGATATGATTTTGCAGGGCATTGAATCTCTTGGCCATCGCAAAGAGTCAGTTCGCCTCAGCAGAGAGAAGGTGTGGATGAATCGTCTTCGAACTATTCAACCACATGGTCTCAACATCCAACTTGGAAATGATTAATCCTTTTCTTCCTCCATTGTCCTCTGTTACAGATAATCCATCTGGTCTTCCTTGTTTGTGTTTACACATCTCCCGCCATCTTTCATCCCTTTCCACCTCAATACTGTCCCCCCCCCCCCCCCCCCCGCATCATCCCTTCACTCTCACACTCTTTTGTCCGTTCCCACTCCCTGTGACCTTTGATCCTTCCCCTTTCTGGTCCCTCCCCTGTTTACACCAGACCCCTTGTGGTTTGCCATCTCCCTTTGTTTCTTTGTTCTCTCATCCACCCTCCCCTGCATCTTTCCACACCTTTCCCTCCTAATCCTCCTTTTGTGTTTCTTCTTTCAGCCCTGCATGTTTGTGTGCACCCCCATGTTAATGTATGTATCTCTGTCATTTCTGTTTTAGCCTCTGTAGAAGAACTTGCTAAGTTCGCAACGTCAGGCCACATTAATTTTAGATTTAACATTATTTATAATAAAATATAATCCAAAAGAGATTGATTGAGAGTAACTGAAATTATGAAATGGATGAGATACATGGATGCTGAACTTCTTGGAATGATTTGAATCGCTTGGAATGATGCTACGACGTTTTGACTTACCGTCGTCCAGCAAACTCAGTAGGCTAACTATGGTCTCCAGCGCGGCCAATCGTACGCAACTTTCCTCATCATTGCTCAGTTCGACCAACTCTGGAAGTATTGCACTTTTGGTGGGCTCAAGCCTGCCAGTTGCCAGAACAAACCAAAACAAAGAAAAGAGAAACACTCTAATGCCTGTAAAATCATCATTTGTAGGATTCCCAGCACTTTTGAGAACAAAATTCCCTGAATTTTCCCAGGTACTTCCCTGAGAACTTTCCCTAAAAATATATATTTTTAACTTGATAATGAGGTTGCTGTGAAGTCATGTGTTGGTGTAGCACAGCCAATTTTTGTCTGGTGAGGTGTGTAATATTTACACTGCATTAACACTGAAAAGCTACCCACTCTTGTTTTACTATACTCCCGAGGACATTGCTTTGTGTTTCCCTTTGTCCCTGTACAACTCTCCCATAGACTAAGCACACAAACCTACTACAGAGGACCGTTTCCAACAAAAGACCCAACTCCCAAAGACTGAAAGGATCTGTTGTTCTCCCTTTGTGTGTCTGTCCTCGGGGGTTATGTAGAACACACAGTCTTGTTTCGTATGTTGTTGTGGGGAGTTACACTGGTCTGTATGAGGTATTTGTGGGGACCGAAAATGCTGTGGGACAGCAGAAAGTCCCCATAACTCGATCCGAATTTGCGTAACAATAGCACTAAAAGCAAAATGCTTCACACAGGGAACCAATCTCTTTTGAAGGAAGATGAAATGTACTTACCCCAAGCCTCTAGCTACTAAATCTAACTGTCTGCACATGCAGGCCCGCACCTCATAGTCCACATTCTGGCATAAGGAGGTGACTAGGGGCAGTATATCTCGCTTGATCCTGTTGGGAATATTTATGACAAGAAAACCATGGATTACATTAGGCCAAAAAAAAGATGATGTCTAAAAACCGCCAAACTCATTGGTTTGACTGGAATCCTGCTGCTGCACAATTTTAACTTTTTTTTAGATGAGGTTACGATCGAATAAAGCTTTATGTGGCCTCTCTGGGCTCCCATATATTTTGCACTACATTTAGTCAGGCACCATTTGCAGTCATCAGCCAACATTTGAAGAAAAAAAAAGAGTAAAAAAAAAAAAAGCTGCGTCGCCGCACCACTTTTGGGGCAAGTTTCATACCAGAAACCGAAGACTTTTTTTTTTGCCTTAGGTCCTTGTTTGAACAAAAGTCTTGTTGCTTATAGACAGAAATAGCCTAGAATAAAGAAATAGACAGTATACCGGTATTTTTTTCTCAGGTTAAAATGGAAATAAACAGAGAGAAATATTTTGTGCAGGAAAGGATGAAAACTGGTAGCCGAATGTTTAGGTACATGTTCAACTCAGTGTAAAACAGAATTTGTTTTGAAGAGTGCCTCCGACCAAGTGGGGAAAAAGCACCAACTGCAAAGTACATGTACAGTAAAGTACAAGTAACTGCAAATGACATGCACAGTATAATCTTACTAGCTTCAAAATATCATATAATTAGCTTCAAAATCAATCTATTTTGATGTGTAACATGTACATTGACATGTACAATGTACATGTAGAGGATAAATTGGTTAAGTTGAACTTGATAAATGAGTTGGCCAACATACATGTACCCGTAATACGGACATGATGTATGAGTGACAATTAAGCACTCGGTGACAGTGTTGAACAAAATAAACAGTAATGAGGCCTACAAGGTCTGACACTATTAATCATAATCTGTCATATCAGTATTAATATCGCTGGACCGTTTACATTATGCAGTACACACTGTACAATGTATACAACATGTACGATGTATTTACAACTCACTGTCTCTGACCATGGAGCTCCATGCTCTGACTGAATGTACACGTGTAAACAAACTGCATGAATTGTACGTACCGGTACACATTGTCATTACATGTAAGTAAAGAAGGGTTCAGTGATTTCAGGGTACATGTAAAATGGGTGAACAATGGCATTTATTGAAGCAATTTTCAATTACAAAAATAAAGATTTATAAAAAGTGTAATCTTTAACCCTAACCGCCCTGGATCCTTCAAAATCCTCTTCGTCAAAGTGGAGGAATTTGGAGGATTGAGGTTACGTGGCAAAAGTGCATCACTGATTTCGTAGGATGCACTTTGTCAAGGTCTTGGGCCGAACCTTGTGTTGTTTTTTGCACGGCCATGCATAAATATAGGCCTGGTTATGCTTGAAATCCTTCGTACTGCTGCAGGGTGTCACTGGCCAAGCCTCAACATATTGACAGTCACTGCAGCAGGATTTGGCAGGATTCAGGCAGTGGTCACCCCTCCACGGACCATATTCAAGAAATAATGAAGGAATTTGCAGGGTTGAGGCTATACCGGTATGATATTTTTTCATGAGGCTAATTGGAGGATTTTGCAGGATTGAGGCTACATCCTAGCAAAAAGGCCTAGGGAGTTAGTGTTAATGAGGCCTTGGTGTTTCTTATTACATGTACATTTTGTACACTGGGGGGAAAATAGGGGAGTGGGTAATATCTTTGTAAAAGGCGTCATTACACCACCCTACTTCACTCACCAATATAAACAATGCACTATCTGAGGATACGTAAATATGAGTATACATGTAATGGTACAGGATTAGAATGGTAGTCATTTACATACATGTACATGTAAAGGTTACATGATTTATTCTATGCCGAGTCAATTGTTTTGGTGGACAAATTTGATTTTAAGACACAGGCAAATTCATTTCTGTAGATAAAAGCCCATAATATCACTTCGATTACTTTGGTATGACATCTGCACTTGTATAGCAAGAGGTCCTGGGTTCAAATCATACCCATGTGAGCTTCCACTTTTTTCCCCTTGAAAATTCTCAGTGAGACATCTGCAGCAGTAAGCATGAGGTCTTGGGTTCGAGTCCAACCTGACTAAGCCTGCACAAACCTTGCGGGTTCAACACAGAGGTTGTGGGACTGGGAACCCCTTCCACACTAGCAAGAATCAAACATGGCTTCTACATTGGACCAGGGCCCGATTTCTTGGCTCTGCTTAGAACCACAGAATTCCGCGCTTACACAATGTACGACCACAAATTTTGTGCTAAACACGCTAGCAGAACAATTCTGTGCTAACTCGTGAGCACAGAATCCTTAGTTACGGGATATATGCATGCGCAGAAGCACACATTCCTCGCTAACACGTGAAATACGCTTACAGTAAGCACGGAATTTTCTGCCGTAGTAAGCAGGGCTTTTCGGTAACGGTAAGCAGGGCCAAGAAACTGGGCCCAGAACTCAAGTACAAGGGTTCAATGCACTTTGGATAGAAGGATTCCACAGGACAAACCTGTGGTATAACTGTATACATATTTTTACGACCCAACCACATACATAAATACCAGAAAACCAGGGGGGTTGTGCAACATGTAGCCTGCAGGCAAATCTTTACAAAATCAGTCATGCTTGCCAGTCACCTACATGTAACTAGGGGGTTGTCCTCAGTCAGCAAAACCACATTTTTTCCCCCAACAATTTTCCGTACATGTACATGTACATCTGCTCCCATTCGTTCCCATGTAAACACGGGAAATCGTGGACCTAGGACAAAAGGGTTGGGGCACAAACAATACATCCACGATTGACCGAACGTCCACGATTGAAAGTCGTGTACAAAACCAATGAGAGCTGTTGCTGTTGTACAGCCTGTCTAAAAAAAAATGGTACAATCGAAAACGATTTTCAATATTAAATCTCAACATAAGTAAGTCGTTTTGAGCATCACATTAAAGAAAAAAGACCAGGCTTTCCAATACTTTTTGTTTCATCTCATTTGCTTTTGTCAATCCAGAGATAACTCCAGTTTACTGCGGAACACAATCGAGTTTGTTTCTTTTGCCAAGTTGCAATCTTTTGTGAGCTTCAAGACAGCATGGCACAGTACTGGAAACAACTCTGCCCATGCATAAAAGTGGCACAAAATCGATTTTGGTGTATCGCACTTAATTGATTATATCTCTGAATTGACAAAAGCAAATAAGATCAAACAAACACTATTGGAAAGCCCAGTCTTTGTTCTTTAATATTATGCCAAGTAAGAATGACTTATTTTGAAATTTCATATTTAACCAATGTTTTTTCTGATTGTACCATTTTTTTTTAGACAGGCTGTAGTAAGGAATGATTAGAGACAATCGGGGGTCCACGATTGCCGGTGTTTACGAAGATACGTGTCCAACCACAATACTGCAATATTCATTAATTTTTTAGATATCTTTAACAAAAAACAAAAGCACACATATGTGTGCAACAAGTGCCACCTAAAACAAGAAAGACTTCTTTTTTTTTCGTAAACAAAATACCAAGGTGAATAACACATCACCAAAGTATGCACATTGTGTTTCTTTTGTTGAAAACAAGGGTCTTTGCAAGAATGTTATCTCCACCAAGGTTTATCAACATGTGCTTGACCTTATGAAACCGAACAAACAGTATTTATCAGTTGTATACAGAGGGCACATTGGCTTGTGTGTTTATAGTAAGGTCTATGGGAACAGAGAACATGTACATGTACAGTTTGTATATAATCAACAATGAAAACATCAAAATGTTGCTACAGTGCTTCAACATGTAAAATTTGTACTGTTAGGCGAGAAAACATAGGATCATATGCTGTTCATGCATGTTGTTTGTTTCCAGTAATTACACAAGGCACTCAAATTCCAAAGAAGAATGTTCCGAACCGAACCTGTTGAAGTTTCAGCTCAGTGGATATTACACTTCTCGAGGAAACAGTGAAAAACCATGCAAAACGTTTTGATCACGAAACACGTTTTCCTCATTGTAACTCTTTATTCCAAAACTCAGTCAAATTGACTGATCATTGGAAATCAACTACACTGTACACGTACATTTCTTGATTTCTTAAATATTTTTAACCCTAGCTACTACAGATTTCATAGAACATTTGTCTCAATTTTTTTTTTGGGGGGGGGGAAGTAGGGAGGGTTTCGGTTTCAAAACGGTTGCAGCATTGTACTGTGGTACTCACATGAAGGAATCACAGCGAGTGGCTATCTTGCCCAGGATGCGACAACTGGCCAATCGGGACTGCACCGACTGAGACAACTGACCTTTAGCCACTGCTACTGTCAAGACCTGGCGAGACAACAATGGAAAGCAGGTTATCATCTTGTCGTTATTTGAAAATAAAATTGACACACAAAACGTTGGCACGGGTTTTAAAACGCTTTATCTGGAATAATTGCCCCAGTTACGAGAAAATAAAAGGTGTGATGAAGTGATTACGAAGTGGAAGGCTAACGAGGGTCAATTTTATGGCTTTGTTTACCGTTTACCGGCTTTTGAAATGCTTTATCTGGAATAATTGCCCCAGTTACGAGAAAATAAAAGGTGTGATGAAGTGATCACGAAGTGGAAGGCTAACGAGGGGCAATTTCACTGCTTTGTTTACCGTAAGCAAAGATTCTATGAAGCATGATTTTTTTTGTTAAATACTCAGAATGACTGTCGCGTTTTAATAAGATTGCAACAAAATTAGAATAATGTAATAAATGTGTGCTTGGGAGGTTTTAATCACTCTGTTTAAGACCGCTTGGAGTTTGGGTGCTGATAATTATGGGTAAACTGTCTTATGTACCGTATTCATGAATGTTTGATAACATTAATATTCTTGCATTCAATCTGAAATTAAAGATGCATTCCCTGTGCTATAGATTTGGGGTTTCTTCAATTGCTATTTTCCTAGCAATATACATGTAGAAATCATTCATTTTTGAATGAGACATTGAATGGAAAAAAAACACCATCGTTTAGTTATTGAATTATTTATACACAAAATTTAAAATCGTTGGCTGTCAGACAATTAATTCGGCTCTCCCAGGTTGGGTTTATTTGTGCACAAAATGGAAACCACTTTCAGCGGTTGCATACACCCAAAATCGGAAATACCAGTAAGTAGTTTTTTCTTCCAAAAAATCATACAAATTCAAAGTTTGTAAGGAGAAAAAAAATCAATGTTTTGAAGAGCACAGGGTATATGCAATTTTCATTATTTATTTGAGGTCATCTACATGTGTATAACACGCCCTATTCAATTTCTAGATGATCCCCCACTACAACCGGCACTTGTAGATAATATTGAAAACTTTAATTTTTCAAATGTACATCTATTCTTATGGAGTGGGAAAATCAAACTAAATCTAACCTGAAAAAATCCAGAAACTCTAAAATATGCTTTAGACCTTCCCTTCCCTTAAAATATCAGGCTCAAATCAGGCTGACTTAAAAGGCTCCTTGCTAACAAAATTTCAATTTCAAAAAGGACCCCAGATGGCTAAAATTAATTAAAAAGTCAAGCGATCCACATAAGATATGCCAGTGTGACTGACAACTTAATGAGACCTCCATGCATGGATTGACTGTCAGTGCAATCAAGCAATTGACATACATGTAGTCTGTCAACCCAGGCATATACACAGTATCTTTCCCCACTCAACTGACACTTATTCCCCTTGCAATTTGGACCGAGCGTATCCGATAACTAAATATCGCTGACATGATTCATCTCCAGTGTATGCACTTGGGTGTTTCATTACACGCTGGGTGCCAAAACCTAGACTGTTATTAACACCGTGCTGCGGTGTACAGATGTGCAGTGTAGTGGGTAATATTAGGGTAGAATGGTAGCCCAGGTTGGACGAAGTCTTCATTGCATTACGACTGACGTCCAGGATGAGAAATCTCTACATAATACCATCCAAAATTTTGACCTGATTTTTGTTACATTTTACCTCGTTATAGAAGCTTGTTTCACGCCTACATGGTACTCTATGCATCCTTATCTACATGTATTGATCCGGGGGTCTCAGGAATTCCATATGTGATGCTGACCGATGTTAATCAGGAAAATAAACTCTAAAGCAACGTTAAACCATGGTTAAACTTGTACTTTTTGTAGTCTCTTTTCATCAGTTTCTCACCAAATCATACGTGCGTATGAAAGCGCACACGCACGCTAGTGCCCTCCTTTGTTCAGTTTTGGTTGGAACAGTGACGTCACTCCAGCCAACCGATGTCACGAAAACACACAACCCATAGCAAAAGCCGACACATGTTTCTGGTAACTGTCACGAAAACACGCTCGGTCATTGGATAGGCGACCGCACCTACATGTACAAGTTAGTGCGCATGCATATGAGGGCGGTTACTAAGGAAGTCGCACGTGCGCACTGCACGTTCATGTTGCACGGCCTCTCTAGTATCTTTGGAGAAACTGATGCAAAGAGTCTACAAAAACATACAAGTTTAACGTTACTTTCGAGTTTATTTTCCTGATTAACGTCGGTCAGCATCGCATATGGAATTCCTGAACCCCCCGGACCAATAGATAAGGACACATAAAATACTGAGACGTAAAAATTAGCTTCTCCAACAAGGTACAAATATTGAAAATATTGGTCATAAATTTTTTCGCCCGGTTTTGAGCACTTCATACCCTGGACTCCCTCCGTAACGTAGGGAGGAAAGGGAGACCACCTGGGCTAGGTAGCACGGTAAATGTTGAAGTGCAATTAATGCCACAGTATGGCCAGGAGAACATGTTCACCTTTTGAATTTTGATAATGGACTTGTTAAAACCTTATGGGTGGCTGTGTACTTTTCTTGGTCAAGTTCAATCCAACAATAAAATCACCGTCAAACAGCACCAAGTCAGACAAGAGTAAAATATTACACAAATTCTTTGTATGTGACTGTGTATTATCATTTTTGTAATTAATCTTGAAGTGGACAATTTTTCCGATGGCTTTTTTTTGGGGTGGTTGTGGTTTAATCCTCTAGTGTACTGCTTTTCATTTTCAAAATATACTTTAAATTTTTGGATTTTAGTTTTACATTTTAAATGTTAGGATTAATAAAAAGTTTACCAGCGCCTTGAATACCTAATTGTTGGTAGATACGTGCGTTATACGTACATGACTCCGGTATTATACGTGTAAAGGTACCATTAAGGAGACACGTTATCGTAATTTCTTCGCATGATGGGAGACATCGGTCATTAGGGAGACATGAATGTCACAGCCCCCCTTTAGAGGCACAATTTTGCTGATTTGTTGCTCGTGGTCTAATTAGTAAACATACCGAAATTCGTGGAAAAAGGACAAGGGAATATTGGGTTAGGGCACATTTAAGTTTGACAAATTTTGTGCACAAGTCTATGGGAATGTCTCCCAAATGTCCAATCCAGGGTAACACTGATTACATGGATTGCTCTCTATGAGTGGCAACTTTTTTTGACAAGTTTTTGCAGTTGAATTTTAAACTGATCGGTTGCGATGCAGCGATATCACTATGAGAATGTACATGTTTATGTATTCATAAACAAAATCCTTCCCATGATATACATGTATGTGCTCATTCTGATCCAAACATTGATTACATGAATGTCTGGCCGTCTGCAAACACACTCTGACTCATGCAAACTGGGACAACCACAATGTAAACGGTGTCAAGGGCAAAGTTCCTGTAAATGTGCTAGTCAGAAAGTCAACATTTTGACGACCCCCTGAAGCAAACTCACGAATTTCAATGGACCAAACTGGGCTCTAAACTGTGCAACCTTTCGGAGGCCGGGTTATTCAATATCTATTATTAACGCCTGGTTATTTATAGATGTGCCTCAAGAACTTGAGAGGTAGCAAATCCCCATGTGCCTACGGTATAATGGTGGCAACATGCTCGTGTGTGTATACAGTGAGACCTCATGCTGGGCTCTGTCTGGCATACAGTCAGAATTATAAGGTCAAGGAATGTTGTTACCAGCAGAGCATGTGAACATGGGCACAATATGAAAGAGTATCCACTGTTATGGGTACATGATCATTAAATGCAATCTTAAAGTGTTTTCAAAGTTGGAGAAATACTTGTCATTCCAGTTATTTCTTGAAGATACTGTACAGAATTTAGTAATAAGACAAAAAATGACTTGCAAACTTGGAGAACACCTCCTGGGTTGTATTTTTAAAAAAAAAATTGGCTTTTCAAAAGACTACTTGGCACAGAATGTGTGTTTGCATAGGAGGGCTAACACGTTGAGCAACAAAATCAGTCACAAGCAACATGACCGCTTTGTCCATTACTCTATTTCCTGAGCTTAACAAATTTCTACACTTTGTGCGAAATGGCCCTTTGTCAATCCCACCTCCTCCCTCCCCTTTTCAATATGTAAACGGCTTTAAAGGTACAGTAGATCATTTGTCATTTGTGCATTTGTTTCGTTTCAAGCAACTAAAGTGCTCACGGGTACTTAAAGGGAATATAGAACATTTACAAGCATCAAAAAACAAAACTATCAAATTATCACAAAATACCTTAGGGCAGCCTTCAAACTTGATTACGCGAACTGTTCACGAAATTCGCGAATATTTCCAGAGCTAGCCAGTTTGCGAACTTCGCGGAGCTACTCATCCATCCGTGGTCAAGTTAATGAGGTAGCGCGAAACTTGCGCCTTTGTTATGTTAATGGCCGTACTGAATAATTCACAGCACTTGCACGTCTTATTATCATAACGCGAAGTCAGCGAACATGCGTGCCGATGTATTTTCCAGAGACTGTTCGCAATCAGTGTCCAGAAGTAGCATGTGAAATGTCGATTTTTTTTATTGCAGGAATTAGTCAAACAACCGAACGGATATTTGGACAACTTTCTGTTTTGGTACATTGCGAACAGAGACTGTTCGCAATCAGTGTCCAGAAGTAGCATGTGAAATGTCGATTTTTTTTATTGAATGACAGATTTTTTAGTGAATGACAGTCTAAAACATCTTGTAAAAATCATGGCACCTGGTGTGCTGACATTTTCAAGAAAAGTGGTAATTTTGTATCGATTTCCAACGCTGGTTAGCCGACCAGCATTGGAAAAAAAAAATGGCTTTTTTCAAATACTGCTCCTGATTTATCATTAGTCCCCATTTTCTTTGCAATGGATTACACGCCTGTGAACGGGTATACAAGCCAGCGAGACTGATTTCCTGACTTTACAACTTTCCGACATCTATAAATTGCTTCGTTTCTTCGTAAGTGGGGTAAGGGAACCAGACTACAAGAACTTGATTGTTTTTCTAGCATCTACGAGCCCAAAACGTCAAACAAGTCAGTGTAACAATATTTGCTATAAAATACTAACCCCCAAATCCATCCATTTCTGAAAATTACAGCAAAAATAAATGTTGTACATTTCCTTTAAACAACTAGCCTGATGAATTTTTCGCTCTGTGAATGCTGTAGTATTCCAAGAAACATAATTCTAGGATCTCGATTTCAATTCAAAAGTTGCCTAGTCATATTTTGAATTGCGCCCGAAATCAGCCTCCGGAACACGTTCTCATTCAGCCGATTGCAACTGTCATGCACTGAACCGACGCATCATATGAACTGCTCGCATGTGTGCGTCGCGTCAACACCCATTCACGGCTTCACCCAATTACAAACCAACTACTAACGGAAATTTCCAAAAATGCATCACTTGACTCATCTTTGGAAATTACTTTCTTTTATTGTTTTCTTCAAAATGACAGCATGCCAGAAGGAATAATTTCACAGGGAGTTTATTGCCATTACTATCTTTAAACCAAATAAGCTTTTCAACAATAATTTGATCAGTTTCTTTTTGGATAGCTGTAAATGATCTACTCTACCTTTAACAATATGATCACTTTGGACAGTGACTTGTTTTTGCTAAACAAATAATTTCTGCGCTTAGCAGAAATTGCCTGCCTCTCCCCCCTTCCTCATGCGTCTGACTAAATAGCTTTAACCAAAAACACCACCCCCAGCGAGTCAGTGAGCCAACTTACGTCTCTCTTGAGGATGTCCTTGGGTAGGCAGGTGATGACCTGCAGTAGCACCTCCAACCACGCTTCTGAAATATCTTGGGAGATATCGGAAACCATACAAGGGAGATCGGGTTAATCAAAATCAAACATAAAAAATAACAGGAAATTCAATCTTCGAAATCATATGGGCAATTCCACGGTTACTCACGTTACATTTTTGATGTACTTTTGAGTTTCCTTGGGCTGTGATTACCTTACTGAAAAAGTTTATTAACTGTTACCCCCATGGTAGATAGAGTAGACCTAGACCTACCTAAGCACCAAAGATGACATCCAGAAAAATGTGTTATGTATGATACTTAACAAGAAGCACAAAATCGGTTACTCACGTTACGAAAAATGTAACGTGAATTATGTGGATTGTCGACGAGGGCCCCAGAGAAGCCCTTTTCACACTAGACAAATCTCGTGGTTGACGCAGGGTTGACGCAGGGTTGAAAGCATGCATCGGTTCACCATTGAAGAATTTCAACCCTGCGTCAACCCTGCGTCAACCCCCAGATTGATTTCGCCCCGGGTTGAACTCAACCCTGCTCCAGACCAGGGTTGAGATTTTCAACCCGGGTTGAAAATCTTGCCAGGGTCCAAAACAGTAGTAACTGAGCATGATAAGCTTGATTTGCATGAAACAAGTGTGAAACGATGCGGGGTTGAACGCGGGTTGAAAAATCAAAAACTCAACCCGGGGCGGCACTGGGTTCGCCCAGGGTTGAGTTCAACCCGGGCTGAGAGGCTCTAGTGTGACGGAGGAACTATATATATGGTACCGGTATATTTGTATTTGCCTCAAGGCATCCTTTCAAATACCCATTTCTTTTGTTTTATATTAGTAAGTATTTTAATAAGGATTCTTTAAAAAAAATGAAATAAGGAAAATATCTTGACAAAAATATCTTGAAATCAGAACAAATTGTGGAGTGCTATGGCCTTGTGGTTAAGGGCACTTATTCGTGGTCTGTGGGTAAAGCTGCAGGTTGTGGGTTCGAGTCCTGGCGGGGTCATGGTGCATGTGCCCTTGAGCAAGGCACTTTGTCACTCATTGCTTCTCTCCACCCAGGAGTAAATGGGTACCTGTGAGGGCAGAGATGGTTACTGTGATTGAATTAGCTTCCTTGCGCCTAACAGGCTGCATCGAGCTGTATACTCCCCAGGGAGCTGAGATGGTATGTGGAATGTTTCATGGGCCCAATGAGCAGGGGTAATAATGATGTAGCGCCTTGAGCACCAGTCCTGGTGGATACGTGCGCTTTATAAATATCCACTATTATTACTATTATTATTAAATCCTGACAAATCTCACCCCTTTCCAACATTTTATGAAGAGGGATGGCAGTTGCAATTCACTCCCTCAACAGTTTCATGCAATAATGTTAATACATGTAATTTAGTGAAATTTTTTCTGGACCTTCATTGGTGACAGAAAAGAAATAATGTAAAAATTGATTAGCACGTGCAACACACTCTAGCTAGGGTGAACCGGTAGTTTGAGGAACATGCAAAGGACTTTTTCACCCTATATTTGGAACAGTCACATGCTGATTGTCAAATTGTTTCACTAACTTGGAATGCACAATTACACGTAATTATGTACAAAATCTGACTAAGCCGTTCTTCTTCTTTTTTTTCCACAAAAATGCCCAATGTTGTCCCTAGATGGTTAGTACATGTGCAATAGTTGGGAAACTCTGGTGTGGACAACATAATTATTGTGATTTCACTCAATTCCCCGCCCCCAACCCCAGGCCAGGCTCAATTCAACTTGACGGTCTCGTGAAAAGGCCTTATAAATGTTACCATGGACTCTCATGTATCTTTTACAAGCTTTTTGTACAGTGGGGTCATTTTCACTCATAACCCTCCCCACGAACCGGTGCTGTGGTGAGTTCAAATGTCTTAGCGACTGTTTTGTTTGGGTGCATGGAGTATATGTACTGAACCAGACTGATACCTACATGTATCTTACCGGGTATGTCTATCTTGCATCGACAAGTACATTAAAGGTATAGTCCATCATTTGTAATTTGTGCATTTTGTTCGTTTGAAGCAACAGAAGTGCTCACAATCTAAAGAAGGGTGCTGAACAACCAATCTGATGAAGTTTCAGCTCAGCTTCAGCTGTACATTTTGAGAAAAACAGCATTCTAGGATCTCCATTTCATATCAAAAGTTGCTGAATCATGTTTTGAATTGGGCCTGAATTCAGCGTCCGAGACACGTTCTCACTGAGCCGATTGCAGCTACGCGATGTCGCACACCGATCCGACAGATTATAGCAACTGCACGTGCGTGAGCGTCATGTCAACGCCTGCGCGGGCTTCGCTGAATAAAAAAAAAAACTACTAACGGAAATTTCCAACGGTGCGTCTTAAGAAGCACCGTTGCAAAGGCCTTTTTTTTTTATTTCTTCAAAATGAAAGCATGCCATAAAGAATAATTTCACAGGGAGTTTAGTTCCCTTTACTATCTTTAAACCAAGTATGTTTTACAACAATAATTACGCCAGTTACTTTTCGGATAGCTGTAAATGATGGACTATAGCTTTAACATGGGGTAAGTTACAAAATACATTACAGTGAACCAGATAAATGAGAGTTTGCACCAAACAAGTTCTTAACCTTCAACTAGATATTAATTAATCAAACATGACTTAAAATTAAATTGTGTTTTAACATTAATTTGAGTTGAACACCGTTATTTACTGTATTCCTGTTTGTGTACACGCCTAGAATTATTCCAAGTTTCACTGCGTAAAACCATGAATGGGCAAACAAGTACACAGCAACTGCACACACTTTCCAGAAATTACCATAAACACCGGCATTTCTATGTTAAATTCCATCAACAACTTGTAAACGATGTATGAATATGAACAAAAACTAAACTCATTCAGACATGACTTTTATTTTGGCTATTTTTTTTTTAAACATGGCAATGTTTTCATGCAGACAGATAAGGGATTTTTAATGAATAATGAGAAGCATGATAACCAAGTGAACAAAATGGACCGTTTTCTGGGGAATTTAGGCGTGCATTACATGTACTTCAACGTCAGCTGAAAACGAAAGTTCTTTTCAAAATCAAACTGAAAATAAAGAATTCCAAAACCAAAACTTCAAGAACACTGCAACAAATATTTTTACAACTTAGAGAAATTATATGACTTGCTTTGTACATTTTCGGGAGGGGGGAGGGGATTATTACAAGTACATGTATATGTGCAGATGTTTAAGGGTTATTGAATTATGAATCACACACGATCTCATTATCACACCAAAAAAATTACACACTTACATCCGATCAATTAAGATCCATGGGACATTCAATCAGATAACATACAGGAAGAAGAAAAAACAATAGCATCATCATGACAACTATAGTCGTGTTCCCTAACATAGCGCAATTCGAAGCTTACCCAACTTTCCTCGTGTAGTGTTGCCAAACCTCTTTGTTGACAAACCTCAAATTCATGCAGTAAAATACTGGTACTTTTACCTTATTAATGCTTGCTATTTAACCTCTGAAAACAATTTCGGTTTCATAAAATTTAATCCAAAATTCAAAAACGGTGGCGTCCAGAAATTGGGCACAAATTGGCGGAGTGTTCCCTAACGTGGCACACTTGAATCAATCTCGGAAAATTCCAGATTAACAAAAATAACAATTTCTGTAAACTTGATAAATTCTGATAAATCATTAGGCCTATTTTCTCTACTTACATACCCAGCCAGATGTTTGTCAAAAATTATTTTCTTATTTTTCGGGGCATTTTCAAAGGGTTCACTTTGCACTTGAAAATAAAATCGGAAACTCACGCCAAAATAAAAAAAAATTCCAACTTTGTAACGGGTAAATAAACTCGCGATTTATAAACGGAAGTGTTTAGAACTTGATGAAATTTCACTTTCTGTGAAATTTCAGTTAAAACTTTTGCTCTAGCTAGGCGATACAGGTGAAAAATCAAAGTGCGCCACGTTGGGGGCCGGGCCACGTTAGGGTACATCAACAACAGGTTTGTAGAACTATTCAATGTTGTATAGGGAAGAAGTTCTATTAAAAAGAAATCTGATTTCTTTGACAAGTTACATAACAAATGAAAGTTTTTGTTTTAAAATATACTGGGATATTCAGCTCATTATATGAGTAGTTACATGTAAACATATTTTTTGGTTTGGGATACCTCAATTAAATGCAATACTGTTTGAAACAGGGAACTTTTTATGGAAACACTTTCTTTAGGGGGTGACAATGAACTTATGTGTGGCTTGAACTTTAAGAGTAATGGGCAACATTTGCAAACATTCAAAATGAAAATGTCAAAATATGAAATATCAGGCTACTTGATGATGAACCCGGTAAATGTACATGTATGTAAGTAAATTTTACATGTGTACATACATGTACATTAAATGATCATGGATCCTCTTAAATCATTCCAGCTAGTAGGCCTATGCTGTATTTTTTTGTAAAAAAAAAGAAGAGGAATTACATGTACATGTACCATCATTTCCGTACAATGTTTAGGACCTAACAATCGCACACAGAAACTATAGATGCGTTGTGTCAAGAAAATTGAAGATGCATTTTCAAAGTTTTCTAAAAAAAAAAAAATATGTATATCTAGTGAGCTGAAAGTTGACAGTTAGTTTTTTATAGCCTGCTTCAGATTTAAGGTACCGTTCCTTGAATCAGCAAAAAAAAATCAATTTTAGCAAATGGTGTTCATTACCATTAAGGGGCGACGCAAATGTTAATTGAAACTTGGGCAAAACACTCATTTTTTTTTTTTTGTGCTTTTGGAAAAGCTTCAGCCAAAAAGTCAACAGTCTACAGTAGCTTTACATTTTGTAATTTGAAATGTTAATTGCAACTTGGTGAAAGCACTCTGCATTTTCTTACGCCTTTTGAAATGCTTCAGCCAACAAGTCAACAGTTTTAGTGTCAATGGGTGTGGGCACGGCAGTATGCGTGACACCTGAGGCAAGAGTTTCCGTGAATCAACTGCGGATCATCCCTTGCCACTACCCCATTATTTATACCGGTACCGGTACCTGTCGCTTTGTTTACCGGCCGGATTTACCAGACAATGCCCCTGTAATGCCAGCAGCCATGCAAGGCTGTACTGCAAACAGTGCAGTGTCTGTGCAAGTGCCCCACCCATTAAAACAAATCAATACATGTTTTTTTTTTTAAATGGGGCACTGTCAGTGAAAATGCCGAGTTTATTAATTAGCAATGTAAGGCCAAAAAAAAAATATTCGGTCTCTGGTCAGACCAAAGTTCCGGAATTGACGCGGCCACGCGGCTTTTTTTTTTTTTTTTGCTTTTTTTTTTTTTCTTCAAGCTTGGATTGTACAGACAAGGTGGGGTACTATTTTGCTTTTTTGGTGTCCTCATGTACATTGGGGTCCTCCATAATTTGCCTTGGTGCTTTCGATCATTTGCCTTGGTGCAATTTCCCATTCCTTGGTGCTCTTTGGTAAAAAAAATTGAGGAGGTGCGGAAATAGAGGGTGCTATTGGAGCTACCGCGGAACATTTTGGAAAAAAAAAGATCGACGTGCATGATTAAAATCGACGCGCGCGCTGACCAGAGACCGACTTATTATTTTTTTTTGGCCTAACTAACTGTATACTAGGGCAAAAATCATTTTGAGAGGAACGGACATTTCATCACCAGAACTTTATATTACATTTGATCAGCAAAAGCATGCAGCAATGCAGGGGGCATTTTTTTTTAGCTGATCACGTCAAACCTTTAAATTAAATTTTAGGGGGAAACTTTTACAATTGAAATCAATCAGATAAGTTTAATCTAGACTATGAGTTTTCAGGTTGGCGTAGCGGTACTTTCCTCGCCTTCCCACCGCTGTGACCCGGGTTCGAATCCCGCCTGGGCCAATATGTGGATTGGATTTCCAGTCCCTAACTGATTCCGTGGGTTTTCCCCCAGAATATTCTTCTGGGCTTTTCCTCCCACCTTTAGAACTGTAACTTCTTCTCATTGTCTTCTCTCCACAGGTTTCTTCAGGCTTGCGAGCTACAGTGCATAGGGCACTTTTGAGGCATCCTTGGTTTCATTTCCAAAAATGATTAATAATAATGATAATAACAATTTAAAAAGCGATATCAAGAGCTGAACGATCTTTTTCCTGAAAACATCCAAATGTTGCAATAGCCATGTGTTCAATTTTCTAGGATTGAGAGTAGCTATGGTATTACATTTGACAACTTTATTTTGGAGGGGATTTTTTTTTTAAATGGCGGGGGGGGGGGGGGGGGACAACAGGCAGAAGGGCATTTACATAGATGGACCTAATAAAAGAAAGATTGGAATTGTGCAGTTGTGCACTGTGGGACAGTTTAAACATCAGATAAAAAATGTGTGTAGCACAAACCGTACCACAATTCATGTGCCTTCAATGCACATTTCTGGTCTACTTAAGATAGGGGTTTTAGAAAATCTCGGCTTCATCTTTTGTTTCAAGTTGGCTTCAGGCTCAAGCATCATGATTTTAGCCATCCCCCCCCCCACCCCGACCTCAATAACAGTCTCTTGCACATAAATGGTTCCCTTGCTGATGTACGTACAGATAAACCAAATCCGTCACACCGTGTCAATGGCTCAGGTATGTTCACTGGGTGTGAACAATGAACATGGCACAATTCCTATCAGTCTTTTGCTGTAGATGTAGCCAAAGTCAAATAAAAAGCCGGGTTTCGTAATTGGCAATAGATCGGAAGAGGCCTGTTTTTCCCCTCCTGTTTCAGTATATAAACGTGTGCTGTACTCATCTGATCTGATGTTTTTTGATGTTTTTTGACAGAAAATGGACTGACCTGGATCCCTGTTGTCCACGTTAGTGAGGATGGTCTGCAGGAAGCTCTGGGCGTAGACGGCAGGTGTGACGATGCGCTCCTCAATGATGGTGACAAACACCTTGGTGGCCGCATCCTGGAGCTCACAGTTGGCCAGATGAAGGACCTCCTGCAAAGGATGCAGAGCAAGACAGACGGGATTAGATAGTGGGAAGGGGAGGTGGAGATCCATTTGCCCAATTTGATGATGCTGCTAAACTGCACAAAATAACGCTCATCGAAAACACAACAATGTAGCAAATTCTTGGTAAAACATTCTGACTTGATCCCATGAAATGTATCTTAAGTCGGCTTCAGGTCGACCTGCGTTTGCTAGCACCGCGTCAGCAACTACCACAAATGTCATTCTCAGGTCACCCAACTCAAAATTTGCGTGATTGTCCTGGACCAAGCAGCATCTTGACACGGAACAATCGCAACTAAGAACAGTTGCCTTTTAATTAATGGACAAGGGAAAAGCAAAAGTCAATTTTTAAACAAGACAAAGGTTTTTTAAACTCGGGATTAATGTTCCACTTTAAATCTGTTTATCTATACATCGTCTGTTTTAATCTAGGGTTTTAATTGCTTGGGTTATACATCGTCCGTTGTAATTTAGGGTTTTAATTTTGCGTGGTTTTAACTCCTTGGATTATTTTTTAGTAATGTATTCATTATGTCTTTTATTGTGTTTTTGTAATTTTTGTCGTTATTATATCATGTTTTTATGTAATCCAGGGCCCCCAGGGAGAACAGTTTATTGACAACTGATGGGGCTACCCTGGTAAAATAACACGAAATAAATAAATAAATAAACTATGCTCATGTCACAATAAAATTGCAAGATCCGAATGTGAGCACGACGTCGTAATTTCACACCTGTGGACTGTGACTGATTCCCACCTGTTAAAGGTATAGTCCATTAATTGTAATTTGTGCATTTTGTTCGTTTGAAGCTCAACAAACGTGCTCAAAATCTAAAGAAGGGTGCTGAACAACTAACCTGATGAAGTTTCAGCTCAGCTTCAGCTGTATATTTCGAGAAAAACAGCATTCTATGATCTCGATTTCAAATCAAAAGTTGCTGAATCATGTTTTGAATTGGGTCTGAATTCAGCGTCCGAGACACGTTCTCACTGAGCTGATTGCAGCTATGCAATGTCATGCACTGATCCGACGCAACCGCGCGTGTGTGTGCGTCATGTCAACGATTGCGCGCTTCGTCGAATAAAAAACGAACTACTAACGGAAATTTCCAACAGTGCATCTTAAGACGCAGTTTTCGTTTTTGACTATTTGCAAACGGTGTCCATAACCTAAAGGGAATGTACATCATTGGCTTTTGCTGTAATTTTCAGCAATGAACTATTTGGGGGGTTAGTATAATACATCAAATATTGTTACACTGACATGATTGAAGTTTTGTTTTCGAAAATGCTGGAAAACCAAGTAAAAACAAAAATTTTCAAGTAGTCTGGTTCCCTGACTCCACTAAAGATGAAATGGATCAAAAATGCCGGAAAATTGTAAGGTAAGGGAACCAGTCTAGCTGGCCTGCACCCGTTCATGATCATGGAACCAATAGCAAACAAACTTTGGACTGAAAAAAAAAAGTAGTTGAAAAACCGTCAGGTTTTTCCAACGGTGGTTGGCTGACCACCATTGGAAATGTATACAAAAGTACCATTTTCTTGAAAATGACCTCACACCAGGTTCCCTAATTTTACAGGATGCTTTAGACTGCCATTTACCAACATCCTAGTAAGGTATTTTGTAACAACTTGGTTTTTTTTTTTGATGTTTGCAAATGTTGTATTTCCCTTTAAGCATCTACATATTTACATATAACACACGCAGATGATCTGCTAACCAATAACGGGATTCCAAACTTTGCATTGCGGATCAAGCGGTTTGTTTGCACAGAATGTTTGATGGTGAGGCCCTGATCCTGCTAAACTGCTGAGTCTCAGCTTTTCTGCACACAAATACTGGGGGAAGTGCAAACTGCTGCAGTCACGGACGCCCGCAATCAATGCACACATAGACAGACATACACATGTACACCCATTCCAGGCTAAAGCAATATGTACTCTACACAGTTCTTCTGATTTGAGGCGTGCGATCACACCCCCATGCCATCGCACGACTAAAAGCTTCCTGAGAAGTGCGAATAACCGCACGCCTGAATCCCTCTGTACCGCACACCTCGGCATACATTTACAGCATAAGTATACATCTGTGAGCTCTTGAAATGGTTATAAAACCAAGACGGACGTGATAAAAAAATCAGATTTTTTGGTCCCAGGTTGGACCACAGAATCACGCCCCTAGAAAAATAACACACCTAGAAAAATACAACTGTTCCTTTTTCCACACATCTGCGTTTTTCAAATCAGGACTGACTACAAGAGTAAGTTAAGAAAAAAAAAAGGAAACCCAAATGGCGTCAACTATTTTTTAAAGAAGTTCTGCACGTAGCACTTTCCAAATATAGAATGTTAAGTTTTCTTCTTGTACAAGAGTCATTCAAATCACTCACATACTTTTGGAACACAAACAGTTTTTAAATTGTGTCCACGGCTCACATTTAAGGTACTGATATTTCAGTAACATGAAACCATGTTGTATCATGAAAATGGTATCAGAATAATCCCATTAGTCTCCGGTCCGGGTGGCCAAGTACCGGTAGAAAGCAGGGCAAGACTATAAACTCTTGACATTATAAAGCATGTTGTTTTAACATTGGAAGCAGAAGGTGTTTAAATACAGGTTATGACATGTGCCAGTTGTCATGGTTATGAGAGTGTTTTGATGGGTTTATTTGAAATGTGAATTGTTTTTGTTTTGCTGAAATATCACTTACCTTTATTGTGATCCGTGGACAAAATTATAAATCTGTGTTTGTTTTGAAAAGTTCATAACTTGAAAAGTACATGAGCGATAGGAACAATTTTTGTACTAAAATTAAGCTTATTAATTGGGCTTTTACATCCTAGATTTTGAACTCGCTACGTTTAGAACGTCTTTAAAAAATAGGGGGCGCCATGTGGGTTTGCTATTATTTTACTCACCCTGTATAGCAGCATTTTGCCTGCAGCACTTTAAGGCCAGGGAAAAAAAATTGTACACATGTACAAACATGTATGTAATGTTGGAAAATGAAAATTCAATTGAATTGGGTTTTGCTATTGATCAATGTTCATAATATTTTATGAACGACCGTGAAGTGAAAAAAAAACAACCATGATGCGAAACTCCATCATTCAAAAGAACGGAGAAGAATTGAGCTGTACCTACCCTGACTTTGGGAACCACCCTGCGCATAGCCTCATTGTTGTGGTCTCGTAAGAGCTGGGGAAGGTTATTAATCACGCTGATTCGTTGCACCTCCTGCCCAGAACTACGAAAAGAAAAACATTCATCATAGAGATTTAAACCCTCCTGCTGTCTGAACAGCCACAGACGGTCAAGACAAAATCAATCCTCTCCCTTGCCATGCCTTTTACACAGGCTAGTCACCAAGAGTCAGATCATATTTCGAGCAAGGACTGTGACCAGTCAAATTCAGTCCAAAGACAAAAACATGCAAGTGGTAGGCACAGCTGGCTTATCAACCACCTACAATCAAAGTATAGCTGTATCAAGATACCCAACTTGCATAAATAGTCACAGCCAATCAATCCTGATTTATAGGCTGAGGGATCTTTTACATTAATAAAAAGTTCAGTAACTTGATTGATTTTGACTGAAAGGGCAAATTTGCACAGAATGTACGGTATGTCTGCATAGGAGGGTTTTTAAAATTCAACACCCCCCCCCAATGATATACTGTAGTGCACTGATGTTTATCTGAAAATGCACATTGGAGTAATAATCAGACCTGACAGATTTGATACATGTAGTTCTAAAATCAGGAGGAAAAGAACCAGAATATTTTTTTTCTAAATGAATGTTCCAACTGGTCCGCTACATGGTACTCGTGCAGTATTCCTGGCACAGTGTGCATCTGTACCTCATAAACATGATAAAATGCATCACCTGCAAGCAACGCCTTTAACGTACATTTTTGTACATTTTCAAGTCAGTATTTCCTGTTACAAAAATAGTAACTTGGAAATGATTTATACGTCTCAACAGACCTGTGTTAAACAAATCCAATCCTTTTTGGAAATCATCCAAATTTTAAACATCCACAGTGCGATGTTCTCTAACCCGTGCAACCAACCTGGCAGATCGCCAAGCTGTGTGCATCTTCCACTGCGGCGCCATGCTTTGAAATTAGCCGCCAAGCTTAAAAAAAATCAAGCTGCCAAGTTAACATTTAAGTCTACTCTACATTTACAATGCAAAAAAATCTAGATTTCACATCAAACGTTTTTCCCAGGTTTAATAATAAATCATGCCACGTGGAACATGGGCAATTCTCCATGGGAGAGCAAAAAATGTCAAAATTAAATATTGACATATTAAACCTTTTTCGTACTTTTTCCAGACCTCAATTAAATGGGGAATTCAGTTCAAAAAACGAAATTAAAAAAAAATACATATTTCTGGTAAAAACAGTTATTTTTGCAATTTATGATCAAAAACGTTCAGATTTGGAAAAAAAATAAAATTTTGTGTATGTATTACTTTCTGAATTATAGGAAAAAGATTTGATTTATTTTATGATGTTACAAGTTACTAACATTACTCAGGGTCATTAAAAAAAAATCTAAAAATCTAAATATATATATATATATAGTTTACGCCTTCATTTAAAAATGTCAAAATTAGCACGTAATTCCGTTACCGAAAAAATGGCAAAAGTTACTTATTTCACAATTTTTCTTGTTTTTTTTCTACAAATCATGTATGTTGAGAAAAGACCCTACTATAAACATAAATGAAAAATACAAACTTTAAAATAGTAATTTCTTGGCATTTTTCCAAGTGGTAACGGAATTACGAAACGGTAACGGAATTACGGTAACGGAATTACGCATGCACAAAGTATGCACACTTCCCCCAGATTATGTACATATTAAATAGGAGATTTGCATGTAAACCTTGGACAGTAACTTTAAATACTAAATTACTTGTTAAATCATTTCCCTCTTTAACATGCTGTTATACAATTAAAAATAATCAGGTGTTCCATTGATATTTTTTACTTTTACTTTTTCTTTTTTACTATTTAAAAAATGCTAATAGTTGTTTGGATGCTTAAAGGGAATATACAAAATATTCAGAAAATGAAACTACCAAGTTTTTACGAAATACTTTACTACACTGTAGGATGTTGGTAAATGACAGTCTAAAGCATCCTGTAAAATTATGGCACCTGGTGTGAAGTAATTTTCAAAAAAAATGATATTTTTGTATACATTTCCAACGGTGGTCGGCCGACCACCGTTGGAAAATCCTAACTATTTTTCAACTACTGCTTCAACTTTACACTCTTTCCAGTCCAAATTTTGTTTGCTACACCTATTTGTTACATGTTCATGAATGGGTGCAGGCCAGCTAGTCTGGTTCCCTTACCTTCCACTTTTCCAGCATCTATAAATCGATCCATTTTACCTCTAGTGGAGACAAGGAACCAGACTACTTGAACAGTTTTGTTTTTCTTGGTTTTCCAGCATTTTCGAACGCAAAACTTCAAACATGTCAGTGTAACAATATTTGATCTATTATACCCCTCAAATAGTTCATTTCTGAAAATTAAAGCAAAAGCCAATGATGTACATTCCTTTAAATATGTTGCCAAAGCAACAGTCTGGTACTCAACTTTCATATACTTGTTGTGGAATATATTTTCTCTGGGTACCAGACAACGGTCTGGTACCCAGAGAAAATATATTCCACAACAAGTATATGAAAGTTGAGTACCAGACTGTACTTGTACTTCTACTTGGCATAACTTAACATCTTCCCTTGCTCAGAGATGCCAACCAGTACAGTTTTATTGTATTTTCCACGATAAACTCAGTGTTCTCCAACATGTAGAACAAACCTGGCGCCCCGCCATGCTTTCTGCGGCGCCCGCCATGTTTAAGAAGTCCCCGCCAAGCTTTAAAATCCTGCCGCCAGGTTTAATTTTTTTGACTCTACAGTGTACATTTACAACTAAAATAATTGATTTCAGTTGTTTTTCCACACATTAACAATGTATTTCGATGTCATCCCAGCCCGATCGGGGTTGTCTTAAAATCTCGCTGAATAGCACGGCCGGCCGTGCAAACACCAGCGATTCCCCATGCACCGTACGGTACTATACTATTACGCGCGATGTACACACGTCCACACTGACAACTGAATCCCCAGTTCCGGAGTGTGCCGATACTTCAAGTAGCGACAACCCCGCCGCAAAAATATATATCTGTATTAGTACACACACACACCAGCAGGAGTACGTACGGCAGATCTTACGTGCAGCCAACCGACTTTCTTTTTCTCGGTGCTAGGCGCGGTACACAATATAATACGCATTGATGTTCTTGTACGAGGCAAATGAGCTCGAGGCCAAAACACGCGTGCACATGGTGTTCCGATCATGCCGATTGTCAAAAGTTATAAATGGCGATCGTGTATGGGCCCGGTTCCCTAAGAGAACAAAATCCACTTTTAATTTATTTGACTTACCAAACTAGTTGGCGACATTTAAGAACATACAGGTAGGTCATAAATAGAGGGAAATTTGGGGGGAAAATGACGATGACAACGACAAAACGCAACATGAAAATAAAGATGACGATCGCACGGCACCGGCACCACCCATAAAATCGCGTAAAAAAACCCGTAATTTGTATCCCATTTTGTTTTTCAAAAATACAAAAAGGTGTCATTTGATCTGAGAGAAGTCTGCTTTAGGTTGAAAAGGAAATTTTTGAATGCTAAAAAAATCGGGGGAACTGGCCTGGAGAATCGCCTCAGATTGCACCACAGAGCATCTAGAATCCAAAATTTTCCCGGGGCCCTTAAGCGGGCCCCGGACCCCACGCCGTAAGGGCTTCGCGCTCCGCGCTCGCAGGAGTCCCCGCCGACCCCAGCGCCAACCTTTAATTTTCAAAGTTGGAGAACACTGAAACTAGTGAAATACGATACAATTGTTCATAGTAAAATTTGATTTTCGTTTAAAAAAATAAATATACATTGCTAACAGGCAATGCAGCCATCACCAGACTGCTTTCATTTGACCTTGACCTTTGACCTAAAAAATGAAGCCCAGACATGTTTAGGCCTACATTTACATTTTGATCTGCACTACATTTGGAATTTCTTGGGTAGCACTGCCAAAGCTTTCCCCTTGTGGCATTTTATATACTTCTAAAATTTGTATTGTGATGAGTTTATGTTGAATTCAATGTTAATGTATTGCATGTACCTATTACATGTAAACCTATGGCGTAATTCCGTTACCGCCCAGGCGTAATTCCGTTACCGTGATTAAAATGCAAATTATGAAAAGACTGATTATTTTTTCAACTTTGTTCTGCATTGTAGTTAACAACACCCCTGAACTCTACAAATAACAGGTAGTGTCCAATTTTAAAATTTCAAAACTTCAGAGAGTTTTATTAATTTATGCGAGAACTCAAATATGCTTGTCCTCCGTCCGTAATTCCGTTACCGATATTAAGCTCCGCCCCTAAAAGGGTAATCTTGTGGGATTTTTTTTATTTTAGCGGCCAATCAATTCTACTGGGTCTTGGCTCCCTTTCCATGTTTAGATTAGTTGCCTAGCATTGAACATATTTTCTTGGGAAAGAATAATCCTAGACAAAGTGACAAAATTCCGTAATTCCGTTACCAAAGAATTGCCCACATACATGTACATGTACTTTCATCGTTGTCTGTCTCCACTTGATTTATGTCATGTTATGGTATAGGCCATACATGTACATGTAAGTCCAATCTCCATGCAAAAGGCAAAAGCATGTTACATACATGTTCATACATATGTACACACACTGGTATAGGCCATACATGTACATGTAAGTCCAATCTCCATGCAAAAGGCAAAAGCATGTTACATACCGGGTACATGTTCATACATACATGTATGTACACACACTGTAAGCATAAAAATGGCTAAAAAATAAATATACAAAAAGGGTAAAAGTTCATACCGGTATTCTAACGACAGTAGAAACTACTGGAAAGGGTCCTAAAACTTAAAGCTGGCTACATTTAAAGGCATAGGCCTAGAGGATCATAAATTTGCTTTTCATGCATTTTGTTCGTACACCACTCAAAACCAAAGAAGAATGTTCAAAACCTAACTTGCTAAAAGTTTCAACTCAGTGAACATTACACTTTTTCGTTCATAAAACACAATGTTGTCAATTAGCACTCTTTATTCCAAAAATCAGTCAATTGACTGGTCGTTGGAAATCACCTACATGTACCGGGTATACA